GAATACTGGTATTCATGATCCAATCGTTCAGGTATCGACCAACAACCTCTCCGATGAGGACAGAGATCTAGGAGGCTGTGATTAGAACTGGTGGCACGAGACCCTAATATAACCTACGATAGGTGTTCCATATCCACCCGCAATCGCGAACTGGCTGAACCCGTATCCTCTTTCAGCTACCGGCGTGCCCAGGAATACGACGTTCGTGACCTGCAACAAGAATTCAATCAAGTCCAAAGATTCCAACAAAGAACGTACGTTTATTCCAATACTGAAGCCAAATACCATAGCCTGAGGGAGAAGTTAATAATATATATGACAGGCTATACTTCAAAGACTCACTTCAAAGACCAAGACTGACAGCAGGTGGGGTCGCCAGACTACATTCAACGGTGACAGAATGGACTCGGTCCACGATATACGATACTTGGCCATCTTCCAACCGGTGATACCAAAGAGCGTCTCAACCCTATACCGAAATCCGGTTGTTGTTGGTTCAGGTATGGGCTTGACGGTCCGATCATACATTCTAAAGTTGGTGATTGAATTTTGTTGGTTGTCGATCGTGCAAGCATCTGATCACTCACGTCTCTTCACCGAAGAATATGACAATCAGAACCACGACGAGACCATACAGGCACCCAATACCATATGCCCAACGCCATGTTGTGCGAGCCACCAAAAATCCGAAGGCGAAAGGGGATAAGAAGGGTGAGATGATAAATCCCATGGTCCATATGTTCAGCTGACATTGGGAATTGCAGTGAGCCCACCAGCCGTGGTTATCTGTTTTTAGAACCCACCTTTCGGGCTTGAAGATGGAAGGGAAATAGATCCGTGACAACGTATAAACCCTATTTCCAGAGAATGTCACTCTGATGATGAGAAAGTTGATCCAAGACAATACTCACGGCGACTTGTGGTGCCGTGCTTGAATTAAACAATGAGTGCCAAGGAATTACGAAAAATTGAAAGACATACGCAAAGACCGCCGTCAAGCATCGCATCGCTACGAAAAGGTATAGTTAACGGAGATGAAAGTGTAATATTTGGGCGCATTTACAAGTGAAGGTCTTGAGGTTGGGGGCAAATGTACAGCCAACGAGGAAGCTCACTGCGAGTAGCTGTAGGTTTACATCAGACGTATGATCATGTGGAAGGATCAAAATTCATCTCACTTGGGACCAGAACAGGACAGGCAACCGTCCATACCGTCTAATGATCATCACAGCAAAGATACCTCCCCAGCCTATGAGTGAGGTCGGTGTTAATTAGCGCTCTCGCGATGAAAGGAACTTTCCCATACCCAGAAGGAAAATGCTCCAACTCAACAGCCATAAGCATCTGGACTTGGTTCGTATGACTATGCTGGGCACTCACTTCGACGTCATGTTGTTGATTTCTCCGGTTGTCGTGCCGAATTGCTCGGCTAGTGGAAACAAGGATGCAATACCTTGGGGGACATTCAGATTGGATACCCATCTCATGCCTCTTAGCGTCACTTACCAATGCCAGAGTCAAAGTCCGGTACAATCGCTGCCAACGTCACGATCAACAGCTGTAAGTGCTTGCGGCGTGAGCTCCAGTTCTGAGGGTCTTTTGGAGAGTCAGTTGGTTGGGGCCATAGCACTTTCGTGCCATCCTTAGTGAGTTTCAACCGAGAGGCAACCGCCTCTCCGAGTTCAACCCTAGCCTCTCTGCAGGCGCGTAAGCTGTAGCTCTTGTTGTGAGGTCAACTACGCACTCAGGATCAACGATGAGACGGCCAGCACGCTGTTCATGGAATGAATAGAGATTGATTTCTGAGCCATCGTCAGAATCGTCGCGTTCGTGTTTCTCGCTGGAGACCTTCTCTGCAGACATGTTAGGGAAGGTAGGAGGGATCAATAAGACGGGGCCTTGGAATGAGGGTCACTGAAATTATTTATATTCTACGTGTGTCTGATTCAGTACGCTAAACTAGATGCGGAGATCTACTGCGGGAACGTACCTCGATGCTGGGGCGAGAACGGAGTACCAAGCTAGGGGAGTTATTGTCAGTTTGTGTTCCACTGACCACCCGTAATCGCAATCTCGTGGGAGGAGATCGCCACGAAAAGAACCATCCTGTCATCCAGAGGCGAGAGAACTCTTGGGAACTCCCCATTCGGTGAGAGATATGTATTACCTGAACTGGGTTATTCATTTCGACGAAATTTCCAGTGTGATAGGATTGGTTGCTATTGGACCTTGCATCGGTTATGAGATTCTCCTCTTCTCAGGATATCAGGGACGTTGTTAAGACCTAATTAACGCGAGAAGCAGTCCACGAGTCCCTTGTTGAGAGAGAATTGATGTTGGGGGTCACCGCACAGAGTGCTATGTATAAGGTGGAGATGATGCAAAGAGGTGGGAAAAGAAGATCGACAACTTGAGGAGCTGACAAGGAGAGGCAAGGAGAGGTTCAGGATGAATGGTTGACCAGACTACCTCCGTGCCATCTGTCTCTTATACAGAAGCAAAAGCTACGAACACCCACTTGGGAACCGCTCTCCGCAGTGAAGCACCAAAATGGCCCTGGTTGACCCTAAGAGCTACTTCCCACCCTCCCATTCTGACTAGAAATACATATTTTAAGTCTCTGGCATCTTCCCTCCTGTTTGAAGACATATTTCTGTTTCTCCCTCCCAGCATCACTAGAAAGGTATTTGAGCGGGCCCATGCTTCATAACGGTCCCAGAAGTGACGTCCTCCCTTGGTATTCGTTTTTGCCGTCCCTGCACCCGTGATCCTCGTCGGTAGGATAATCGGAAAAACGTCGACCCCAATCCGGCTTATGACCGTGGCGGTTTGTCACCCTTTGTCACTCGCCACGAGGGGGCCAGCAGTACCCTGCGGTACCTTGGTCTGATAGTAACAGGATAGCCAAAAAACACAACCACTGCTTTGTGAGAGACGGAGTTTGAGGCCTAGAGAGGTTTGGGCAGTCGCTGACCACCAGTATTTGGACGAAGCAGCTGGGTCGTGACAATGTAGCGATGGATAAGTGCGGCGTCTCTGCGGGTCATTTTTAGATCGACGCCAGAACCCGCTTGCCATCAAAATTAAGAATGGTGAGTCACTGACTCGAGCCTTTGTCGTTTATTATATTGGGATCTTAACTTTGGCCCCCTTTCATTCCACCCTGGTACATCTGATTTACTTTGTCCTCCAGTACTCTGAGCCTTCAGGTCCCCGCCCACCTCAGTCGTCATGTCCACAAAAAACCCTCGTTTATCGTTCTCGAGAGCGCAGGGTAGGCAGCCCGAGCACAAGTATGTCGTCCGGTCCACTTCCACCATGATATTCGGAACTGATACGTACCAGAATCCTTGCGTAAGGCTGTGAAGGAAATACTCAGTCTCTCAAGCTAACGTCTAAATTAATCCAGTATACCAGGGCCAGTCGAAGTTAGCAACAATGTGTTAGAAGCGCTAGCTCAACCACCTCTATCTCATGTATCTCCGGATTTTACACGCATCTTCCAGGAGGCGCTATCACTCTCCAGGTACGCACTCTTCTGTAAGAACCATACCCCAAACCTTGAGCCATCAACCTCAGGAAAGTTGTTGGCTCCCAGAACGGTCAACCATTCGTCATTGCTGGAAGCGGGACCTTGGGCTGGGACCAGGTAGGCATCCGAAGTTCTTGATTTGCAACTGCGGCTGAGCTTCCACACCAGGTCGGGGCGAACTTGATCGAGCGCGGAGACAAAGTTTTGGTGTTGAACACTGGCTATTTTGGGGACGGATTCAAAGACTGGTGTGTCTTCAACAGATCGCCCTCCCAGGGTGACGCTGATCGGGGAACCCAGCTTGACTTCATACGGCGCTGTTGCCACTATTCTAATGGCCCCATCTCCGGGCGAGACAGTTCCCCTCGCAGCGATAGAATCTACATTAGCTGGCCAGAAATACAAATTGATCACAATCACTCATGTTGACACGTCAACAGGTAAGTCGGATATTCCTTCTAAAAATAGAACGGGATCAATAATAAATGTTTAGGTGTACTGTCTGATGTACACGATATCACCAAAGTAGTCCGTCGGGTGTCGCCATCAACGCTTGTCAGTCATCTACATCTAAATCATAAAAATATATGACTAAATTAGGAGTGTCAGATCATACTAGATGCAGTATGCTCCGCCGGGTGCGAAGACATCAAGATGGACGCCTGGGGTCTCGACATCGTCCTGACTGCAAGCCAGAAGGCCATCGGGGCCCTCCCGGGCCTCTCGATCCTCATTGCAAGCCCACGCGCAATCCAAACTTACTCCTCTCGTATAACTCCAGTTCAAGGGTACTACGCTAGCTGGAAGAAATGGCTCCCGATCATGGAAGCTTACGTCGCCGGGAAGGCAGCCTACTTTGGCACACAACCTGTCAATCTCGTACGCGCACTAACCGAAGCGCTAAAAGAGTTGATGAAAGATGGAGAAGAGGGGTTAGCAAAGAGAATTGAGGCACACAGGAAGGTTGCCAGACGGTTGAGGGCTGTGGCTGCACAGTTGGGCATGAAGAGCTTGGCGACGCAGGGTGCAGAAGCTGCTGGGCTGACTGCCATCTGGGTTCCTGAAGGTCTTACTGCATCAGAAATACTCCAAAAGGCGGGTGCGAAAGGCGTGGTCTTCGCCGGAGGTTTGCTCGCAGATGTGAAGGATCGTTACATCAGAATTGGGCATATGGGTGTGTCTGTGACGGATGAAGCACGCGGAGATACAAACCGGATAACTGACGTTCTATACTCTGTCATTAACGAATTACTCGCGGAAAAGCGGATGGATCGTGCGACGACTGAAATCTAGGTACAATTCTATTACACATTAGATCTCAGTTCATTAGAAGTTCGTGAGTCTAAGGGAGGGGGTAGGGGTAATAGTTATGTTGAAATGACATATATTTTGTCCGAGGCGTAGAGTACATGGAGACGGTAGTCCAGTAAAAGAGCCCGAGGGGACGGGGGGAAATCTGCTACATTTATGTCCGTAGCTGAAATCGAACCAGCGGCTCTTCGGAGCCTGCTATGCCACAACGAAGTGATTTGACCGCTAATCGATACGGGCTACCCGAAACGAGGATGATACCCTGAGCGACGGTAGGATTCCATAACATGATAAAATCGAAAATGACCATGCACACAACGAGCCATGGAGGCAGCTAATACCAGGTTTATGAAGCCGAAGGTGAACGTGGCGGGTTCCACAAAACCGTACAGCCAGTGTGGGCACTGGGGGCTGGCTCCAGAAGCAGGGTTTTTTTTAGTTTACGTTTCAATATCATGGGTGCTCCTCACCATGGTCCCTCGGTGGTGAGTGCTGTGCCTGCCTGAATGACAGCCAATAAGTGGAGTCAATGGACTGCCGAGCATTCAGAAATACCGGCTTGTATTCCTTGTCACCCATCGACGGTAGAAACTACAGCCAACTTCCCCCGACAATCTCGACGTCAGCGCCAATCTGACTATGCAAGCTTGGCTGAGACCATCATGCGGCAAAAGTCATCGAAGCTCATTGATTTATCTGGCGATGAGGAGAATGTCTCCAACATCTCTACCATCTTGACCCATTCCGTGAGCAATGGAATGGATTCTCAAACTAAAAACCACCGACCTCTTCTGCCTTGAGTTTCTCATTTAGAAGTTTTGCCACTCGCTGGATATCCTTGATCATGATTTTCTGGCTGAGCAACTCCTCTGTACTAACAGAAGGGAAGAACAAAGCATATGCGTCAACACAGGTCCGATGTTGCCGTGACGTGAGCTTGTGGACTCGAAAGTCTGGGGATGCGGGCGAAGATGGTAGTGAAACAGAGGAAGATTTTCGCGTTCGCCGCGTCCTTCGTCGAGAGGTGGATGCCGAGGGACCTTCTACATATTCTTCGTCCTCGACGTCCTCATCCTGCTCAATTTCGGCTTCGGATTCATGATACTCATCAGAGTCTGAAGCACCAGATTCAGCCTCTGGATCTCTCATCTCTATATCTTCGCCCGACGCTGTATCCCCACCAGCGTCGTGTTCGAGTAAGACAGCGCAGACAGACCGCCAGTCGTCTCTGTTGACATATTCATCGTCGCCTTCGAGTTTTCGAGCATCAGCTTTATCATTGGATGACGCCCAGCCAGTAGCAGCGTTGCGGAATACTGAGAGGACTTCATCATCGTCCGGTGGAAGATCCAGGATTTGTAATGCAGAGGGTATCATAGATAGGGGTATTTGTGTCGGCACTGTGGTTAGGTCCATTGTGTTGTCCTCGTCTCGAATGAAGCCTCCACCACTTGAGCTCGAGAGCTCATTGTCATCATGGATGAACCCCCCGCCTCCCTCGTCACGAATGAAACCACCTCCCTGCTGGTCGTCTTGGTCATCACGTATAAAGCCACCTGATTCCGGGACAAACCCCCCTCCTGAAGGTGATTCCGGTGGTTTGACGAATTTCTTAGCAACAGAGGTAAACGCCGAGTCGATCGTATTCCGGGTCGCTCTGGGTAAAGTGAAGAACAATGTGTCGGACGACATGGAATGAGTTCGGTAGCGAGCTTATCGCGGTCGCTTTTGTTTAGACCTGATTGTCGTTCACGTCACTTAAGTTCCGAACGGACTCTCCGGAAGTTAATTTAGACAACGGCTTTCAACACAAGTACTCCAGGGTTTTGCACGTCTAAATAAGGGTTCAAAATCTGCACCAGAACACAAGAGTATTTTAAATGGTTTGTGGGCTTGGATACTCTCAGTTCTTGGCGACGACTGTCACATTTCTGGCTATAGACTATAGTGTTCTCGTTGTCGAATGGCTGACCATCGATCCACTGGTTTCTGAAACTACCAGACCTTCCCATGTGGCTGGACCGATCGCCGGCACCCAACTTTCAGATGTCAACCTATGTCAGCCTCAATTGCTGGGAGTCCTACAAAACTCACCAGTTACCGAATTTCGTTCGTCATTCACACTAGCCATGTTTTGCCTCGTGTATCTCCTCTTCTCCTCCTTGTGGACGTTCTTTTGCCGCCTCTTCACACCTTGGAAATGGACTTCAACGAACTGCGTGGCTTCCTCTAGTTCACCTATGGTCATCGATATCGAGGTCGGAGTGGAGGTTACTCAAGGTCAGCTTCAAGCTTCACCCCTTCTCGCTGAACATAACTCATACAACGTTCGTAGTCGTCGACTTACCTGCCTATCTTCACTCCCGGGGATCCAGTATTCTTGGGACACCAGAGGTTAGCGATAGGTTCAACTTCACCACCAATGGCGAACCATATTTTCTCAACGACGCCATGGGGTGCCACGGAACTGCTGCCGCTAGCAATGGCTCCATTTGTGATGAAGCCGACCGTGCAAGTAGCCGCGACTCTATACATTCAACATCGACGGATATGACGTCCTCGTCCCAGGATACCTTCTTTGAAGAACATTCTTTTGAATCTGTGACTTCCCTCGATGGCCCATCCGATGAGGGGATCCGGAAATGTTCTATGGATTCGATTGTACTTGAAAGGGCCGTCGCGGATCACCTTGTCTCGGAATCACGCGCCAGGGAGAATATAACGTTGGGGAACAAGATCGAGGATGTCAATGTGGACCGCGAAACCGAGCCACTAGAGACGGGTTTTAATAAGGAACGGGGCGATGCCTCTCCGACTATCAGTAAATATTTCATTTCTCTGATCCGCACTTGAGGGTTGACACGAACAACAGTTGTCCACAATCCTTCCCTTAGTGCCATATTTCTTGCAGAGCGAAGCGTTGGGGAGTTCGAAGTAGAAACACAAATTTGGAACGAGGTCGATGAAGCCGAGTCCAAACAGACCATCAAGACCACGCCCTCGCTGCAATTCGAAGAAGCAGAATTTGATCATTCTCAATCAATTAGCTGGGATGTTGTCATCAACTTCAAGGAGTCCCTAAACCATGGGGTTCCGGGCGCTGGAGGACACATGCATTCAATCGAGACTGTAGAACGTCATGAGACTGCTAATTCTGTTGGCGCCTCTGGTGGAGATGAACGCGGCTGCGACTTTGAGTGTGTATATGAGGGAGAAGAGGATCATCAGACAATTTTCTCCGCTGGATCTGCATTTTCCTTGAATTTCTAATTCGTTTCTCATCTTTCATTATTTTTGTGTTTCTAGCACATTGAGTATATTTGGTCCAGATTTTCGAAGCGTTACTCTTCAGTGTTTGTAAATTTCTTCATATGACACTATCATTTTTGCCGCAGGCCGAGCACACGAACGGCCTTGATAAAAATGAGATGGAGGTTCTAGATTAGGACACTCTTGTACGAACAGCATTGCGGTTTCACGGAGGATCTACTCGGGCACAATCTTCCAGATTCTTGTCACACCATCGTCGCCTGTTGTAGCAAGGACATCCTCCATCCCTCCCCTCGGGCACCATGAAACAGTGTTGACATCGTGAACGCCGTGCGCTGACGGTAATGTCGCTATAAGACGATGCTCAGGCGGCGCGTTCTTCGAGATTCCTTCTACTTCAGCGGGTTCCTTCACATTCAAGTCAGATACCGCAGTAGAACGAATAACACAACAACTTACGGTCAGTTCCCAAACTTTGACGGATCCATCCCCTCCTGCTGTTGCTAGCCAACCAAGACTACCGTCTCCAGACTTGGGCCGGCCGACGCTCCAACTGACAGAGTAAATAGTCCGGTCATGGGCGCTAATGGCAAGCACGCTCTCCCATCTATAATTGTCAGCGCGCTTCCATATACGAACCTTCTTATCATCGGAGGCCGAAGCGAGATAGCTGCCTTTGGGCGACCAAGCCAAGGACCAAACGGTAGATGCGTGACCCGTGAGAGTTGCAAAGCAGTACCAATCTTCTGTTGGGTCATCGACATAGAGTTTTATTGTATCATCATAGGAGCCGGATGCAAGTATCTGCACTGGTGGGGGACAGGGGTGAGTGTTCGACGTAAAAGTCGTGGGTGAAGTGAATCGACCTCTTCGGATGGATGCCAAGCAACGCATTTCACATCTTGTGTGTGTTCCATAAGAACACCCAGGCATTCGAAATCGGCATCAGGATGGACTTGAATGAAGTGAGAAGGCGAGATGTCGTGATCCAAGATACAGGACTCACCTTCCCACACCCAAACGGTTTTATCTCGACTGCAGCTGGCGAGCAGAGTACCGGTGGATGAGTAGGCCACGCTCTTGCATTCGGTCTCGTGCCCTTCAAGAATAGTCATGCATTCCCATTCTCCTGCACCCAGTTCATCTTCTCCAATGTCCTCCTGTTCCCAGATGCCAATATTCGAGTCAAAGGAACCGGTGGCAAGCGTTTTTCCAGAAGGAGACCAAGCTATAGATCTAACGGTTTTGGTGTGGCCGGTTGGGATTGTGGAGACATGATTGAATTTGAGTGTGCCATCCGATGTAGAAGAGTAAGAATACAAGCGAACAGATTTATCTGCTGAACAAGATGATAGGATTGGACGGGAGGGGTTCCAAGCTGCGGCCCATGCGCGGTCGTCGTGACCCGGCAGCTCAGCAACAGCAGTAACTTGGTACATGGCCGATCAGAGATAACTGTTAGTATCAATAATGATGACTCTCGCCCATTTTACAAATACACGTGATGTGACGCCATTTGCTTTTGGACAAATCGACAAGTCTACAACACCCAACTGCCACATTAGCTCTCTGCCACTATATCTGTCAGTCATGGAATTCCCAGGAGAACGCACACGCCCGGCAACCCCGAACACTTGAAACGGATTAGCGGGTTCTTTTTCGATATCAACACTTGGGGAGAAGTAACTTGCGAACGGGAAAAACAAAACACAATCGGGCGTTCCTGACGAATTCTCATGTCCCGGTATTACTCTGTAAATCTGCAGAGACGAAATCTGGGTCTTGATGCATAAGGAGGGCGTTTCCTAACCAAGACGGCACCCCCTAACCCTAATTTTAAAAGAGATATTCTTGACGCTCAGTCCTTCAGGAGCGTCGCGGCTGAGCACTGAGCGCTGGGCGCTGAACTTCCGGTTGACGTTAAACGTTGATGACGTGCTAGCTATGTGTTTGTTTATCTTCGACGGGAA